TCTTTCTCACATGCTTTCACAGCACTAGGGACCTTTCCTTAACATTTATTGCAATCATAATTTCCCAACTTTTTTGTGATTTATCAGTCGCTATTGGTTGTACTTACTGACTCCTTGAGGGCCAGGATAGTGGCTATGCTTTTTTACAGTTTTTTTTTCCCAGCAGTTAGCACAATTCATGGCACATGGTACATTGTTAACCAAAAAGAAGTAAATGAATGCATGAAGGAAAGCATGGATAAAGTAATAAGAAAACCTTGAGAAAAGGGTTGAAAATCATACATCTGGTGAAACAAGCATTTGAGAATTAGTATTCTTTTTGGTTTTTTTTTTCCTTCAATGAAGGCCTCATTTTGAAATGTTTTCATCAAGCAACAAAAAGTAGAGGAGATTCCTCTACCCTGTACAAGTTATGTATGTTACACTCCCTTCATAAAGCATTGATTAAGAAAGCCAAAGAATAAGATGTTGCATTTCTTTTAAAATAATTTAAAATATATTAAATTTTCCTAAGGCAGATTTTTGTCTGAATGAACTGTCTTGATGAGATAATCACATGCCACTGAAGGAGAACAGTACTTTTCAGGAGTTATTTTTGTTTAGGTGTAGAGTTGAGACTGGCTGATGAGTCCAATGAGGTCAAGCAGCAAAGACAGATTGTATGCAAGAATACGAGGCAAAGTGATGACAACAGCAGCTCTTCACACAGCTAAGACACATCTTACAACTGGTTCATTGAAGTATGCTGGTCTTTAGATATGATTGAGAAAAACACAGTTGTACCTTAATACAGTATCTGTGAAAAAACACAAATAAATATGATGCTAATAAATGGCCAATTACTGTCAACTTGGTAGCCATTTCAACAGTCATGCAGTTTAGGATTATATCCTCATATAATTTGACATACAAGTTTGTCATCCGCACATGCACACCATTGTTTAACAACAAAAACAGCCAATAATAGTGTCTATATTGGTCAGGAGCACACAGCCTCTGTTTCATCTACAATTTAGTGAATACCTTATACCAAAAGGCTCCTTGAAAACCTGGCCCTGCTGGTCAGAGAGGAGCCTGAGGGAGGCACCTGCCAACATCAAAGCTACCCTGACCATGGCAGGAAGAAGGAAACTTTAGCTCATGCTACCACTGCACCAGAAACAGCAGTGACGGGTACTATGCTATGTGGCAGGCACATTTCTCAGCTCAAGGAATGTGAGCTTTGCCATCACTAAGGAGAGCCTTTGAAGGCCTGCTTACTTATTATCAAAACAACATCAATAACAGCGCTCTGAATCCAAACAACTACAAGTTCAACATCTGCTGTTTACAAGTGGACCAAAGATTTAAGGTAAGGCTCTGTTGTGGCTGAAGAAGAATCAATCTCCTCTGAAAATGCCTTGCACATCCCACAGAGGAAAAGGTACATGGCGAGTCCACTGGGATGGGGCTTGCTACATTCTATTCACAATCCCAAAGAAATTCTATTTCAGCTTGGACCCGATGTTTGGCTCATTCTTCCAACTATTTCTTTGCCAGGAGGATTTATTCTGCCACAGAGAAAAGATGTGTAGCATTGCTTAAAACGTCCTGTATGTGAGGAACTCTTTCATTTTGTTGGGGATTGGCAGTGCTAGGACTTGGTAGGTTGTCAGGAAACTTCGAAGGGCTTTCCGGCATAAGTGCTCCAATGAGGACAGGACTCTAGGGCCAGTCCAGAACTGGACGTGGCTATCTCTTGTCCCTGTGGCAATAACTCCACCATGTGAAAAAAATGTGCAGCAAAGACCATTGGTCATAGGAGCAAATGCAATTGGAGCCTTCAGTTCCAGGGCCCAGATTCTGAGGAGCCTGTCATCTGCCACTGTAGCGAGGTACAAGCCTTTGGGAGAGAAGCACATGGATCTCAGTGAGCTCATGTGGACGTCGCTGTTGTCCATGGTGGCGTTGAGCTGAGTGTGGTGGAGTGACCTCAGCCTTTCACCAGTGTAGGGGTCCCACATAATCACTTTGGTGTCATAAGAAGCTGTAACAAGCAAGGCAGAGTCCAGGGAGAAGTCACAAGAGACAACACTGCTTTGATGACCCTCTAACTTCTGTATTAATGTGTAGGACCGCATGCTCCATAGAAAGACCAACTTCTCTCCAGCTGCAGAGCACAGCACAGCATGCTGCAGTCTGGGGATATGGAGCCGCAGTAAACCCACTGCAGGTGCCCCAATAACACCTGAATCTGTTTGCCATGTTTATTCAGAGCCCAGATGCGAACAGTCTTATCCCATGATGCAGAGACCAAAATCAAACTGCCACTGGGTGTGAAGCTCAAATCTCTCACAACATCTTGGTAGCCGGAAAGATTCAAAAGCAGGAGCCCTGTCTGCACCTCCCAAATCTTGATCTGCCCATCATTGAGTCCCATGGCAAGGATCAGGCAAGAGACATCTGGCACTTGGGGATGGTGGCTGCCCAGAGCTTCCTGCTGAGTGGAGACGGCCAAGGGCTGAAGGCCAAACCCCAAACAATCTGACCACAGCCCAGTGTCTTCTCCTCTAGGCCCCCTCAACCTTTTGTGTCACTGTTGCTGCTTCGACTTTTGGCTTCAAACCCTTTAGGGATGAACTGCTCCTCCAGAGGCCAGGGGATCAGCTTGACGATGCAGTGTCCTTGAGACCAGGCAAACCAGGAGCCTTCGGGTGAGAAGGCGACACTCCAGGTTTCATAGCTCAACTTCCAATCAAACTGGTGGGGGCACCCGGGCTTGAGTTCAGCCAACAGCAGTGGCTCCTCTCCGGCTGCGCGGCAGGCAGTGGGCGCCTCAGCCCCCTGGGCCACTGGCCCTCATGCTGCCCCCACGTTCCTCCGAATTAGTGATCTTTAGGTGATGAAATATTACGAGTCCTTCATAGTGAAAATACACATATATGGTAATAACAGCCAGGATCTCATAAACAATGATAATATTTTAAGCTCTTTCAGTTAAGAGGCCTCGTCTATATTAGTTCATCCTATCCTAGTAACAGCTCTCTGATGGAAGTACTGTTATTATTCCCCAGGGAGAGTAAGCACTTTGCCCAAAACCACTTGCCAGTGAACTAATGGAGGAGCCAAGTGTAGAATTCAAGAAGTCTGGTGTCAAAGTTTGTGTTCGTAACCACTAGACTATGCTGACATTAAGTTATCCAATCAGTGGCAATTCCAGAGAAAATGTTGTGGAACTCAGAGGTGAGGCAAGAAAACACTTAATATTAGGTTCCTTATTGTATTACACAGGACCCTCTGAGCTATTGATGGGTAGCATTGGGCATCTTTAAGAGAGCCTTTTCCCATGGGTATATATGAATTTAAATGTGGATTTTCCCATATGACTCTCAACACTTGATTGCCCTTCTGTGCCTTTTACCGAATACACTGATAAAACTTGTAGTTTAACTGGGTCCCCTTCACACCCTAGAGAGTGCCTCACATTCTATCCTATAGATATTGGGTACTTAGTAGATGTGGCTTAAATCAATGGACCCTGTTTTTCTTGTCTGACGAGTAAATGATTGACTTGGCCAAACAGTCCTGTGAGATCTAGTTGGCTGGATAATTTCACCTGGAGGAGCAGGTAGGATGTGAGAATCTCATTAGAATTGACCTTTCTTAAGAAATATGGAACCTAAACACAGTCTTGGAGCATGGAACCATGCGCTCATGTACCTGCTTCTTCTCCAGAAGTGTGAGAACCTGGAGAGTGACTGCCAGGGGGGGCGTCTGGCTTGGGGACGGGTAACCCTCGGGGGATAGCAGATCCTCTAGGAGTAGCAGCAGGGTGAAGTTTGGCCCTTAGGTGGAAAAAGGGTAGGACCAGAGCAGAGTGTCTGTGCAGGTGTAGTAAGGTGGGTTCAGGGACATCACTTCTAAGGTCTCTGATGGCTGACATATCTGTGAGGCTAAGACTATCTACTTTGACAAAGCTCATTTGTGAGTTAAAGGGAGAATGAAAATACTGGAGTCAGCTGAAAAATTCTTAGGGCTGGGGTAGAAAAATGAGTTGGAAGCAATGGGGAACACCTAATCCCCAGCTGAATCTTAAAGGAACCCAGAAATGTCAAATAGGAAACAGAAACCTTAGAGCTATTCTCAGGCAGTATTTTTTCAAGGAACAAGGTACAAGGTCACCCATCAGAATCCCCATATTTCCCGGAATTTTGAGTTTCAGGCAGAAATCTGTTTTCAATAACCCAGTTAATTTCTATAAATCCTAAATTCTGGCAATTTCTAATCAGGAAGGAGTGATACTATTTTGCCAAAGTGAGAAATAAAATCCCCAATTCTTAGATTTGTGACCTGAATGATTACTGTCATTTTTCAAGGATAATTTAACTCCTTCTCTTTAAGGCCACCTGTGGATTCGATGAAACATCTAAATTAGCGACTAATTGCATTTTAATAACAGACACGCAGTGCATTGTTAAGTTCTCCTTGCTGATTTCCTCAGTACTCTACAGAGGAAAACATGGAGTCTCGTTTGGACCTGGTGAGCAGACTTTGACTTTGTTGTACAAATTTTCTCTGCTAAGAATAAAAGTAGCTACCACATCTTCCATGAGAAAATTTGGGGTCCTGAAGTAAGGGTTCAGTGTGGACAGGTCTTAGACACCAGAGTGCCTCCTTAGCCTGGAACGAAGTCAACTTGTGGCAGCAGCTAGGAGAGATACACATCTCCTGGTGTCTGGGTTTCACATTCCTACAACTTTCTATCCAAGCTCCAAATAATTGCTCCTCTGCATTTTCCCTTGGTCTGGCCCAAGTCCCAAATTCTGCTTCTAACCAAAGCACTCTCTCAAAATAAATTGCAGAAGCCAGAATCAGGCTGGTGGAGGCCTGGGACCAAGCAGGCACCAGCCAGCAGCAGCACATAAGCAGCCTCTCTAGGGCACGTGACCTGGTCAGGCCAGTCCTGCCAGGAGCTAAGTAGGAAGAGGAGGAGGAGGGTGGGGATGCAGGGCTTGGAACAGAGCCTAGAGTGGATGGTGAGGGCGGGACTAAGCAAGTTGCTACAGTAGGCCATAAGAGGAGGAAATCAGGGTGGAGGAATTGTGTTCAGGTGTGTGAAACTGAAGGCTGAACTTCAAGAAGTCGTTGGTGCTGTCTGTTCCAGCCAGAGATAAAAAGAAATTCTCCCTGTTACTCCCCTTTGGTGGGATAACTGGGGGTGATAGCAGCCCAGCCTTCCTCCCCAGTGCTCCACCAGAATAAGAACACCACCCAAGGAGTGCCGACTTTCTCCGCCATAGCTGTGGACAGCCTGCATCCAGGAGGGAAGAGGTAAGCACCTTGCTAGATGCTGAGACTCCAGGTTGATCTTTTGCCCTCAGCTGTCCCCACTGCTTGCTGGCCTTAGGCCCAGGTGTCACTTCAGAGGGAGTCTTTGAAACTGCCCTTGACCCCAGTACCCCGGGTGGGTGTCTGCCACCAGCCACTTGTAGCTCCAGGCCCTGGGGACCCTCAGTCCCCTGTCTGTCTGGGAAGCGCTTTGTCTAAGGAGCAGGCCAGGGCTTTTGGGTGACTGGCTTGTGAGAGCTGATGGTGATGGTGATGCTCCCTGTGGTCCTGCTCCTTGCTCACAGTGATGAGTAGGCAGCTCTTGTAGGTAGCCTTTGCTTCTGCTGCCTTCTGCTTGGAAATGTTGCTTGTATGGAGAGCCTGTATAGGTGTTTGTCATTACTTGTAGTGGGGTTTCTTTTAAAATTTACTAAGCTATTAAGTGAGATTTTGAAAGAAATAAACGTGTAAGGAAAAGAATGAGTTGGGTTTTTTGTGACAGTGTCTAATAAAAATAGTAATGATTAGAGCTTAATTAAATGATTTTAAAAGCATGACAGTGAAGGACTTTATGTAGTGGGAAAAGCCCACAATGCAGGTGTTATTATTGTTCATAATTACTGGCAAGGACGGTAAGACTCAGTGTGGCTGAGGCAAAGCAGGTTCACTGATCCCAAGGCCCAGGTCTAGGCTTAGATTGATGAAGCTGTGTTTAACCTGGTCTTCTAGATTCAATGTACGGAGCTGGTGTAGAATAATTTACATTTGTAAAGAGACTTTCTCTAGGACAAAGCTGACAGCCTTCATCTCCTGCTGTGACGCTCACAAAATAATTCAGAGCTCTTAACTCCAGCTTCCATTACCTCTTCCAGTGGGCTTAGAGACAGTTAACAGCCCACTGTCAGCAGTATGTAGTCCACGTGGTTTATGTTATTAAGAATTCAGAGGCTACAGCTGAGGAACAAAGCAAATAATGGAAGAGCTAGGACTAGCAGTAGAAGAGGGAAGGAAATGTGCTTGAGGAAAGGAGAACTAAACACTGGGCCAGTACATAGGGCTGCTTCAAATTAATCCAAAGCACGGTTCACTAGACTCTTCATAACTCTATAGTTGATCCACACCCTAGCCTCACCTAATACAAGGTTCCTGAGCTCCAGTGAGCCAGCAGCATTGGCTGTACCTGTCCTTCCCCTCCTCTGGCCCTTTGCATGGGATCTTCTCTCTGCCTGGAATAATTTCCCCTCGATTATTCCTGTAACTGGCTTCCTCTCTTCCATCAGATTTCAACTCAAATATAAAATACTTCCTTACTCCAATTACTTTCTCTTGCTGTATTCATTGTTTTCATAATTCTTATCACAGTCTGGTCAGTTTGTCTTGTTTACTTTTTATCTCCCTCACTAGTATGCAAGTTGAAAAGGATGGTTGGAGATCTTCCATTTTGTCTTTTGCCTATTGGACAAGACTAGGCCCTCAGGGCTTGGCAGAATTCCTGTTAATAGTAGAAACTCAGGTAATCTTTGTTGTGTGAATGAATAGTAGAAGGGAATAGGAAATATGACCACTAGTTCACCTTCCTCCCATTCAGTACCTCCTGCCGTGGGAACAAACACCTCAGAGTAAAAACTGAAGTAAAGGACACCTGCATTTTCAAGAGCTCGAAGGGCATGTGATTTCATTCTTGAGTAACATAAAAAAGGCTGAAAGGCATCAAGTGGACTTTGTACCCCAAGAGATAGCCAGGTATAGTAACACAGGCTCCGCTGGCAAGTCTTGATAAGCAGAAACTGCCTATGACTTATCACAGTTGCCCCTTCTAGGCATGAGAGGAGGTATTGATCTTATCAAGGCCTGGGTGCATGTCATGCCAGTACAATTTCAGAAAGCTTGAAGGTGCATCCTTCTCATCCTGCTTTGTCAGTATAACCACTTAAATTCCCACCCAACTTGCTCACATGCCACTTGATGATTTGGATGTCGTTTGTTTTCGGAACGGACAGAGGCTCCTATAAGATACCAGAGGATCCAGGGTATTTCTGTGAGTTACACTATTTTCTGCAAGTGTAGGCAAGTTCCTTGGCCTCTGCCTGATGTTTTTCTATAAAATCAAGGGATAACCACTACTCTCTGTAGCAAGTAAGGTTGTTGTGAGATATACATGTGGTACCAGTTTTTTGCAAAGTATTTAGGGTGACAGTGATGGAGAATCCAGTAGAGTTTCTCTCTTGCTCACAAGCACTCAGCCCTGCAAGCAGTGAAGTGAGTTTTGTCCTGGAGAAGTTTACTTGTAGAAAATCCAAAGTTCCGAAAGAAGTCTATCAGAGGAAGAGATTTCTTCACATAATTCCTTTCTCGCACACCTGCCTGAGGAATTGACTTTCTTTAAGTAATACCCAGCATACTAGTTTTGCAAAAAGCAGCATGAGAATCCAGCCTAGTGATGCTTTCTCTCTGGCAAACACACAGCGTCTGGCAGTATTTCACATGCTGGTGATTTTTATGGGCCCCTTCCTATACTTATGTGTTCTTCACTGTAATGGGTGTTAAGCCTCTCTGGCATCAGCTTTGTCCTGTTGATTTAAAAGACATCTGGTTCGTTTCCATTTTTTTTTCTTTTCTCATAGTCTATGTAAATAGGGAGGGGTGAAGGGCACACAGGTAATGGGGAAAAAATAAGAACCAAGATACACCATGTACAGGTACAAGCACCCAATGATAAATGTAAACTTATTGTATACCTAAAGTGTACCAATAAAAGAATTTAGGAAAAAAAATACGTCTGGTTTCATATCTTATCCTCAGGTTCTAGGACTGTTTTTAAGGTGCTCCTTATCTAGTTCTATTCCCTGATGTTATTCTTGATTTGCAGATTTTGAAACTGGCATTTTTTGACACAAAATAAATTTTTGAATCAGAAGCAAAGCAAGAGTCTTGATGACTTTTTTGGGAGGTAGAGCCCTAGAAGCAATGATCTGACATAGGAAAAGAATGACACTAAGAGTTTAGAGATCGGGGCTTCAGTCCTGACCACACTTCTCAGTAATACTTTTGCGGCTCCCTGAATGATGATGAGGATAACAGCAGTACTAGCAGAGTTTTACTGAAAATGTAGTGACTTCTAAGAGCTCCCCCTGGGTAATCTCCTACAGGGTTCACTATTATCTCTGTTTTGGGAAATGGGGAATGTCAAATTTGGAGGACACAGTGTCACCAAAATAATAAACGAAAGCATCTGGATTTGAATGCACGCTGATTGATACAAGAGCATGTGCTCTTATCATACTTCTACCTAGCAGGTGCGCTGCCTTCTGCTCCACTAGACTACCCTAAAATTCTTCTTTTTATACATGTGTTGACTTTAGCCTGGTCCTCTGCCTAGGATGTCATCCAATAATGATGCCTAAGGAAGTTCTTGGAAACTGGAGTTTTATTTTATCATTACCCATTTGTCTTGTTTGCCAAAATTTAGAAAAAATGTTGTTAACAGTCTCCTTTTCTCCAAAGATACCTTCGTGGACTTTGGACTTTGAGGAAATTGATGAATGTTTTTATAAAGAAAACAAAATGGTACATCTTGTCAAAGGGGAACATGAAATGAATCATAACCTAGAATATAAAATATTTGAGGCTGAACTGTTTCAAATTCTTTAAACTTTTTGTAGAATTTGCAGATACTATGTGCTATACAAAGGACTAGTAGTAATACAGAGGACCCTAAAGTTATGAGCGGGCTGTCATACAAACAACTGGGGTTATGACCAGAATTTTACTTTTAACTTGCAAACAAAGTCTTGAGTTATGACCCAGATTCTGGCCACTTGTGCTTTCAGATGGTCTCAGATACAGATTTAACCCTTAAAGAGTCCTGGAAGGAACATGACAGCATCGTTTCCTGTGTAGGGTTGAGAAATCCTGGCCAATGTCTCTCTAAAGACACTGAGACTTTCCTGAAAGAAAGTGTGGCCTAAAATTATACAGGAGAAAGACTTAGAAGGCAGCTGACCAACTTGAGTTAGAACCAGCCCTCAGGAACGAATTGAGTTTGTAAGTTATGGGTCCACTGTACAGCAGCCAACACTTATTAACTCCTACTTCATACCTGGCCCTGATAGAAGAATTTTTTTCATATTATTTGTGTCCAAGAGACTATCAATTTGGGTTAAGGGGATGAGTTCATGGTTTCCCGTGCTTGGCATTGTGAATTGTTAGTTGTATGACTTTGGACCAGTTTGTCAGCCACTGTTTTTCAACTTCCCTGCCTGCAAGTAAGGATGACAATGAATTTATCCCCAAGTGCTTAAACAGTTTCCAGTAAGTGTAATAAGCCCAGAAATAATTATTACTTCTGCTACTTTTCCCTCAGCTCTTCTATGCAATAGGTCTTCTCATCTCTGTTCTGTAAGAACTAATGAATAATCAGGTCACACAGCTACAATTAGGCGTTGACTCTCCAACTATCTTAAACCAGAGTCTGCCCTTTTCAATGCTATTTCAATAAATGCCCTCAGAAAACATAAATTTCTCTGGGGATCCAGTTTTAGAAGAGTTTGTACTCCAAACCCCAACCACCCTCCCTCCATGCACATACGTGCAGGTACTTTTAGCCTCCCCCCATCTTCAGACTGATGAGTGAAGTGCATGGTTGAAAACAACTTCTCTCTCCAGGATTTCACCAAACCTGCCAGAACTTTTTCCTCCATTTAGAATCCTCTTCAAAGGCAATCAGCCTAGCCTTGGGCTGATAATATTGCTCTTTAGAGGCAATCAATAGAGCATGGGGCCTGAACATTGAAGGAGCTCCTTTCGGCTCTGTAAAAACATTGTCCTAAATGTTGGCTAGAACTTATTGATGTGAAATACCATCTCTGAGTTAAACCAGTGTTGGGAAAAGTGGCAAGGAGAAATTATGCTGAGGACTGCACTGCGCTGGTAAAGACAGTTAACACTGCTGTGTGTTCTGTTAGCCATGACAGTCAGGTAGACAGAGTTGTTTCACTGGCTCG